TAGAACGAAAAAGGCATAATTTATATTTATTTCCTAATTTTTTATGGTGGTTACCAGATCGGTAAAATCTATCAAACCCACACAGAGATTCGTTACTGAAAATAACAGATAAAATATAAAGTTTTTTCTTAAGAAATGTTTGATAACTACCTGGACATTATAAAGATTTTGCGTGTGAAATTTGAAAATTTTCTTATGCATAAAAGTATTTTTAATCTTAAAATGAAAATTATTTTGCATGTTGGATAGGCAACATGCAAAATGAAAAAAAAAGCTTTACAAACCTTACGACTTAATAAAAAATTAGATATTTTGCATATGAAAGCGTTGTAATGTTTACTGATAAACTGCCAAATTTCGTTAACATTCGCTAACTATTTTAAACGTTATAGCATGAAAACTATAACAAGCACAAAATAGTTACAAGGTCAGTCCCAGGGACTGAGCCCGTGCAGAAAGAGTTAAAGCTTTACAGTTATAATTCTAAGTTTGACAGTATAGCCATGAAGGAATTGTCACATTCATATTCCAAACCCATTCTTGTTCACAGACAGGAATATAAAAAAAAACTTTTAAAAAGAAAAATTAATATAATTACAAAACTGCTTTTTTTCATAGAGTAAATATTCTTCAAAAAAATCACAGATTTTCCCTACACTCAAAATCAACAGTGTTACAGTGATATGGCTTCAAACAATATCCCTATTTGTTTTCATTTCATTACTTTTATGTTTTCTCCTCCTTATTCTTCTACATTTTTGCCATTTGTTCCTTTTTCTCCTTTTCCATCATCCAAAATTGATTCTAAATTTTCAAGATCTCAAAATTATTCCCATACCTTTTAGGAAGAATATTCATGCCTGCCTTTTTTTTTAAATGAAGTTTCTAATAAATCTTTATTTTATTCTTTTTATATAAGAATTCCAAATGTTGGTTAAATACAAAATTTAAACTCTGCAAGTGAATCTGGTTGGTACTTTAAGAAACCTTCTAACAAATCAAATAAAAATTACTCCATTATTTTATCAATTTTCTAAAAACAAATTTCTCTGAAACAATGTTCTGTTAAAAGAACTAAAAGTCAATCCCTAGGATGAAGAGCTCAAATTTTTAAATTAAATTGAAAGGAAATTAACATCTTGTTTCTGAAAGTGCATCTACAACATGATTTAAAACATTGTTTCCAAACCTTCTATATAAAATGAACAAAAACTAACAAGACTTTAAAAATAAAATACTGAATATAACTAGAAGACCATGAAAAATAGACATTTACCATAGATAAAGTGTGCAGAATCTCTTGTTGAACATTTCTCAGTTCTCTATTTGAGGGTTCTTGAGATAACTGATTTACAGTTCCTACATTCTGTGAAGTTTCAAAAACTCCTGATTCACTGGTCTGACAAGCAACATCACTTACATCATTCAACTGGATAGCACCGAACTGGCAGCCTTTGCTGCTGTAGGATGAACTAGAAGATCCCGCATTCTCTGAAGTCACAAAAACTCCCAATTCACTGGTCTGGCAAGCAACATCACTTACATCATTCAACTTGATAGCACCGAACTGACAGCCTTTGCTGCTGTAGGATGAACTAGAAGATCCCACATTCTCTGAAGTCACAAAAACTCCCATTTCACCGGTCTGGCAAGCAACATCACTTACATCATTCAACTTGACAGCACCGAACTGACAGCCTTTGTTACTGTAGGATGAACTAGAAGATCCCACATTCTCTGAAGTCACAAAAACTCCCAATTCACTGGTCTGGCAAGCAACATCACTTACATCATTCAACTTGATAGCACCAAACTTGAAGTCTCTGCTGCTGTAGGATGAACTAGAAGTTAAGTAGGGGTACAAAAGTTTGACAGGCATCAAATTCTCCATCTGCAGCTTTTCAGATTCAGTGTTGCTGCTAGTAGAATGTTCCACTGAAACATCAACATTAACTGTAGTATCAGGATGGCTTTTTGGTACCAAAGAAGGAACACATTTCACGGAAACAACTGGACTGGATTGAGAATATGTGACCTGAGTTGTGACATCTGCACAAAATTGCTGACAAGGCACCCTAAACTCTTGGTTAAGTTGTAGACCAATTCCAAGGTCTGGGTTTTTAGGAACAGAACTTGCATGTGGTGTTGCTTGATCCAAGTTTAGACCACTTTGGTTCTTCACCTGTTCAGTTAAATGCAGTGAGCAACACTTCTTACTTTCATCCTCCATCTCTTCAGATTCTTCTTTCTGACTTTTTCCAAAACCCTACAGAAGTAATAAATTTGTGAAGTATTCACTACAATTTCCATGTTTTATACTGTTAATTAGCCATTAATAACCAGGTTTAAACATGTGACAATAATTACTGTCATTATGTATTTTCAAACCAAAAAATATTTTTATCAAATTACTATTGAAATTGTAAATATGAAAAGCATCAATAGAAGATTAGTGATGTATAACAGTGCCAAATCTATAAACCCATACACAATTTTAAGTAGTACTTGATTATAGATTTCAAAATAAAGATATATTTTTGAAAATCAGTTCTTTCCCACAGATGTGTGAATAAAAATAAATATTTGAAATTACAATTATAAGGCCTGCTTCTTTATTTTAAGAAATTTGGATGTAGCTGCATTAGCTGTCCCTAATTTTGAACTAATAAATTAGAGGGGTAGCAGCTAGTCAACAGCACCCACCACCAAATCTTAGACTACTCTTGTCACCAAATAGAGATTTGACAGACACCCTTATAATGTAACCATGGCATCAGAATTATTTCTTTTGATGATAATGTGACTTAAACAATGAAATTGCATATCTACAGTCCATACAACCTCTAACTTACGTTGGGAACTATACATCTGGTCATTTGAACATACCAGATTTGTCCAAGCAACTTTCAATAACAATAAAAACAAATAAACAGAAATATGTGAAAACAATCAAATCTGACATTACTTCACAATTAATGTTAAACTGCTAATGTCCAATCAAACCAGAATTTACTTCACAAATAACATTAAACTGCTAATGCACAATCAAATGAGACATTACTTCACATTTAATGTACAATCAAACCAGAGTTTACTTTACAGATAACATTAAACTGCTAATGCACAATCAAATGAGACATTACTTCACATTTAATGTACAATCAAACCAGAGTTTACTTTACAGATAACATTAAACTGCTAATGCACAATCAAATGAGACATTACTTCACATTTAATGTACAATCAAACCAAACATTACTTCACAGATAACGTTAAACTGCTAATGCACAATCAAATGAGACATTACTTCACATTTAATGTATAATCAAACCAGAGTTTACTTCACATTTAACGTCAAACTGCTAATGTACAATCAAACCAGAGTTTACTTCACATTTAACGTCAAACTGCTAATGTACAATCAAACCAGACATTACTTCACAGATAACGTTAAACTGTTAATGTACAATCAAACCAGAGTTTACTTCACATTTAACGTCAAACTGCTAATGTACAATCAAACCAGAATTGACTTCACATTTAACGTTAAACTGCTAAAGCACAATCAAACAAGACATTATTTGACAGTTAATGTTAAACTGCTAATGTACAATCAAATACGACATTACTACACATTTAACGTTAAACTGCTAATGTACAATCAAACCAGAATTTACTTCATATTTAACATTTAATTGCTAATGCACAATCAAACCAGACATTACTTCACAGATAACGTTAAACTGTTAATGCACAATCAAATGAGACATTACTTCACATTTAATGTTAAACAGCTAATGTACAATCAAACCAGAGTTTACTTCACATTTAACGTCAAACTGCTAATGTACAATCAAACCAGAATTGACTTCACATTTAACGTTAAACTGCTAATGTACAATCAAACCAGTTTACTTCACATTTAATGTTAAACTGCTAATGTACAATCAAACCAGAATTGACTTCACATTTAACATTAAACTGCTAATGCACAATCAAACAAGACATTATTTGACAGTTAATGTTAAACTGCTAATGTACAATCAAATACGACATTACTATACATTTAACGTTAAACTGCTAATGTACAATCAAACCAGAATTTACTTCATATTTAACATTTAATTGCTAATGCACAATCAAATAATACATTACTTCACAGTTCATTGTAAAGATATAATTAAGATATAATTTGTACCTCTTCAAGAGATATGTCAGTATTTCCTCGTGCACCTCCATAAGTGGGAACATCTTCAGCAAAACCACTACTGTCTGAAAGGCAGCTACCTCCAGACAGGCCATCAACTAAATATTAAAAAAGACTGAATCTTTAAAAAACAAGACAGATTAATGGAAATTATGCATTCTTCCTATATAAAACTTCACATTAAGCATTCCTTCATACAATATAAAATTTCACACAGTCATTCCTTCATACAATATAAAATTTCACACAGTCATTCCTTCTTCTGACATAAAACTTCACATTAAGCATTCCTTCATACAATATAAAATTTCACACAGTCATTCCTTCTTCTGACATAAAACTTCACATTAAGAATTCCTTCATACAATATAAAATTTCACACAGTCATTCCTTCTTCTGACATAAAACTCCACATCAAGCCTTCCTTCATACAATATAAAATTTCACACAGTCATTCCTTCTTCTGACATAAAACTCCACATCAAGCCTTCCTTCCTTCTGAAATAAAACTCCAAGCATTCCTTCTTCTGACACAAAACTCCACATCAAGCCTTCCTTCCTTCTGAAATAAAACTCCAAGCATTCCTTCTTCTGATACAAAACTCCATATCAAGCATACCTTCTTCTGACATAAAACTCTATATCTAGCATTGCTAATTCTGACATAAAACTCCACATTAAGGATTCTTTTATGTGATATGAAATTCTACCATGTTTTATTAAGATTTACTGGAATGTCATATCACTTAGAAGTAATCTTACAGAAACAGGTGTAGCATTTTGATGTAAAGCTCATCTTACTACAGTAACTAAAAATGAAACCAAGATGAGATTTCACTGATGTACAATTCAAGTACTTAAAGCAATCACTTATTTACATCTTCAAGAAGATATTTTTACAAGCATAATGTATACGTTAGTTTAGTAGTGACCTAAGTTTTTCTAAAATTTTTGTTCTACAAGTGAAAATTTTATGAATGGCATTATGCTGTTAACACCTCTGGATTAAGACAAGTCAAAGTAAACATCAAGACCTTATATTTTTACAGAGTTACACTTTCAAAATTTAATTAAAAGACTTTATTATCAATGAATGTAAATAAAATTTACCATCTTATCATAGTTTATAATTCAAATTTGAATATTATTTAAATTTAAATTTCCTAATTTCAAAAGGAAATATATATATATATATATATATATATATATTCTAAGTCTTAACTTCTTCGTATCATGTGAACCTTCTTCTCTCCAAATTGCTCAGTTTAAATAATATTTCTACACTTAAATTATCTTCTATTTGGGCTACCAATGGTACACTTATACTATAGATATTGATAAGCCATATTTTAGATTTATAGCCTACAAGCTTCTTGCTGATTTGAGATATAAACAAGAAAGTCAATCTCACATGCTATACCCCTCCCATCTTATCTCACATGCTATACCCCTTCCATCTTATCTCACATGCTATACCCCTCCATCTTATCTCACATGCTATACCCCTCCCATCTTATCTCACATGTTATACCCCTTCCATCTTATCCTGCCTTACAAGAAACATCAATAATTCTCTATGAAGCTTCCTATTGAATTATTTATAACCAATAGAAAGAGCAATTTCTTTTTTTACAAAATTTGGTTTGAGGCTAGTATATTTAAAAGCCAGGTTAGGAAAAACTTAGCCCCAGTTTCATTGTTTGCCTTTGTGGTGTTCAGCTCTACCAAACACACTTTTTTAACTTATTAAAAAGAAACAGTTAAATTACAGTAGTTTTATAACATTCTATTTTTTCCATTATACATTCCATATTTGTAATGAAATTACATTTCGGACCCCTAACATCATAACAAAAATGTAGGCCTACATTGTTAAGTTCTATCTGTTGACAGCAAAAAGTCCAGACTAAGTACTAAATTTCTTATTTGTTTATGTTTTTTTATTTATTCATTGTTATAAAAGTAACTCAAATGTAAAAATTAGAAACTTATCAGGAAATAAGACAATTTACATGAAACATTTTATATAAATTTTTGTTATATTTAATATCCTAGGACACATCATGTTGTATGACTGTAATTTGATTGAGGGTATTTATAACTTTACAGCTTTCAATATCAATATACTGGTAACAATGGAGCTTTTAGAAAAACACAAAAATTAAAAGTATTTTTGGCAGTATTAGCTCTATAGCTTTCTAAATCAGATATTGACAACCTGGTATGAATTACCATACCATATTACAGTTAAAAAAAACATGAAACTTTATTACATGTAGAAACAAAATGTTCAAACATGGAACATTGTAATGCTTTATTTTGTAATAAAGACTAGTATCTACTCCCCTATAGATTGTTTTTTAAACAATGAATAAAAAACTCAACAAAGAGTATGCTAAGAATTATTAAATCAATAACACGTATCACCTCTCTCATGTCTAAAAGACCAATTTTACCAATTCAATGAAACGTTGTTTTCAAACTGCAAAAATTAGGTCATGTGAACTAAAAGGTTTAAATATTGTGATAAATATACCAACTGTAATTGGATGATGCATACACAGTCGTGAAGGAAGTTAGAATGACATTTCTGGGAATATTTCAATGCAAAACACAAATCATGGAAAAATGGTTTGGCACAAGTGATTTTTTTAGGAACGTACAATATACCAAAAAAAAAGACCACTTACGTACTATTCTAACTTACCGTTTAAGTGCTGCCGACTACATTCGACGACATAAGAATTCTCACCTTCTGTTGTGGACAGCTATAAATACATTACAATTAAGATAAAAAAATTAACACTTAGATGAATAACTAAGTTTATCATCAATAATTCTGTGAAACTCATCACTGGAGCAAATGAAATAAAATATTTCCTTTAAAAGTTCCCCACAGAATAAGTTTTAAATTATTTTCAGTATTTTGTTCTTGAATTAATTTAATACAAAAGAAACAGCTACACATACTTCTAACAAAGAATCAGTGCTTATAAGCAGATCAAACTAGTTATCTTTGGGAATTATTCAAAACAAATTAATTTAAGATAAATAGTAATTTCATTATTCCAAGTTTTTAGCAGTTTCTTACAAAAGCCAAACTATATTTGGTTTCAAAATACAGAAACATTAAGTAATTTTAATTTATGCATAGCTCACACACACAAAACAAACAGAGAAAAACTTAAGACCTGCATAAAGAGCCCAAGTAAATCCACAAACTGTCTCAAACATCAGGGAACAATAATCAAGTCACTTATGAGTATATACATAAAGTCATACATCGTACTAACCTTTAAACAATTGCATTTTATAGACACACACACTTTCTAAAAATCTGCATTTTCAACCATAACAACCATTTGTTTACATATTTTCTGATGTAAAATTATTTCAGATTAACTAAGCTGATATACAAACAGTAACACACCACTAATAATGTTTACTGCCTAACTCTCGAACAGCAAGCATGTGCAGAGCAGTATCTGGAACACTGGATATCTCTAAACATAATTAGGTTAAGATCTTGCATTGTTGGATGTTTAGAAAAAAAACAGTGTTTATAACAATATTGAAGCTTTAAGTGTTATGTGTTTCACTAAGCATCTACTCAAACACCAAGGGAAACAAATAATCATACCTCATTTTATTCATTAGGGAAATGCATACATAGTATGTAGGATATTCTTCAAGTAGCCAACATAAACATAACACCAATTTATTTTGTAAAATAAAATTTTTGATCATTATAACTTTTATTTTAGAAAGTTTGAGAAACCATTAGGAGATGAATAATAATAAAACTAGAGAGAGTAATTGGATGATATAGTATTATTGTGTTAACAACACTAACTTCTACATGTTAACAACAGTAAAAATATTATTTTTATAATGTTGGTATTATATGCATTAACTTTTTAAAAGTTAGCCGTGTAAGACTAACAAAACTGTTTGGTATTTTTATATAATGAGAAGAGAGACTTTCATCACAGTAATAGTATTTTGGATTTCACTCAAGTTTGTTTATTTTGTTCACAATGTTTCACCAGGTCTATTCGTATCTCACCTGATGATACCATTGTCAACAAAATAAACAAAAGTTTTGCTATGTACGACACCATTTAAATTCTCAACTGTGGGGTGTGGCCTAATGAAAAGCTGGTTCACCCCTCTTAACCAACTTTTATGGTTTAAGATATATGCATCCAGTGCTTTTTGTTTAAGAGCATGCTTGGAACATTTCTCACTCTGTATTACCCAGAAAACACTTGATAACTTGAACCACTAACATACTGTTATAAATTTATAAATACAGTGCTCTTATTTTTTTGCATTTTATTAAAAAATTTCCTGAGTATTTAACATAGAATTTTGCATAAACACAACCTACAATAAATTACTTCTGCATTGTACATTTAGTTCAAATCTCCTATCTTATTAGATGATGAGACCTTTCAAGTTATGAGAAAGTGAATTTTTAACAACTATTTTTTAAGCAATCCTCACCTCTTCGAGTTCAAATGATTCTTTGTGCTGTATATTATGTACTTTCAATCTTTCAGGTCTTCTTACACTATTAGCACTAAGATCTGATTCCTGAACTTCTAAGGGTTTGTTTGACTGTTCATTCCAACTTACATTCTCTGCAGATGTCAAGAGAACGGCTTTCTTTTCCACATCCGGATTGCTATGTGTTTTCTCTAACTGGATTCTATCTGCAATTTTACTGTCTTCACTATTTTCATCCTCTTCTATATTTGACTGTCGGGAAAGGAGACGACGTCTGCTTACAGGAGCAGGAAAAGAGGAAGCTTTTGTTGCACATAACTTCTTGTCATTGTTTCCAGATACTACAAGGGAATCATCTGGACTTTCCTGAGATGTTGCTGTACTGGCTTCCAAGGTTTCATTTAGACTTTTCTTGTCTTTCTCTGGTAAACTACGAATATTTTCCTCGTCTACCTCATCTAGTGCTGACATCTGTTTCTCCTTCCACTTCATACTGCTAGTGGAGAAAGGAGTCTCAGCATCTGTTGTACCAAATGCTCCTTGGATCAGATCTCCTTCATGACTGAAGCAGTAAGTGTGCAACCCGATAACTACCTTCTTAGGTTTGTCGAGTGGTTCATCTATTCCTTGTTTCTGTAAAAATTCTCGGTTTGCAGGATCTAAAATGCTGTCAGAACTGTGCCGAAGTTTTCCTTCACGAAATGCTGTGGCTGCTCGTAAGGTTTGTTTGACATCACTCCAGCACATAGCACTCTGAGATGAAATTTTTCTATGTCTGTCACTGTTTCCTAACCTTCCTAGCACTGTATTAGCTGTGGCAATATTGGACAAACGTCTTGAAAGTTGAGAATAGCTAGATACTAAAAGAAACAATAAACTAAATTAGTAAAACTATTTGAATCCAATAAAACTAAATTAGTAAAACTATTTGAATCAAATAAAACTAAATTAGTAAAACTATTTGAATCAAATAAAACTAAATTAGTAAAACTATTTGAATCCAACAAAACTAAATTTGTAAAACTATTTGAATCAAATAAAACTAAATTAGTAAAACTATTTGAATCCAATAAAACTAAATTAGGAAAACTATTTGAATCAAATAAAACTAACTCCACAAAACAGACAAATGAACTAAAAACACTGTGTTAATGGTTTTTTAAATTTACTATTAACGATACAAACAATATAAAAACTAAGATAAGTATAATGTAACCAACAAACAAAACACCGTGTTCTTCCTGAATTTGAATAAAATTTGGGAACTTTCAAATGAAGAAAAGTATTTGTGATCTTAACATGAAAATCACTTTGCACTTGAAGCAGTCAAAACTCCATATATTCATCAAATTTTTAGTAAAAATACTTAATCAAAAATTCTGATTTTTTGTTCAAGAACATTTGTAATGTTTATTGAAAGCTTGAAAATTTCTGTGAAGATACATAATATGTATTAAAAGTTATAGTATCGAAACTGTGATGGTCTCTTTGGGGATCACGTGGTAGATGTAATCCACCGAGTCAGTAGAAAAGTGTTAATCTATACTAATTATAATCCATATAATTCTACATATTTTAGTTTTCATTCTTTTATTATAGTTATATTTTTGTAAGTAATTAGCACCACCTATTTCAAATTCAACATATTCACTGCCAAGAATAAACATTACACTTTGAATTTGAAATTGACATTACAAAGTTTTAATTGCTTAAAAAAACAGTTCTGCTGCAAAACAGTTTACAATACAAAATTTAACTATTTCTCTTTTTAAAGTATGCTACCTCATCAAGAACTTTATCTGAAGAACATTTTGAAGTACATGTACTTATTTACAGTAAAGCAGCAGCTTCTCAGTGTTGAGGATCTAAATACTTGTAGAATTCTATAGCACTGGGTAACCATATAGACTTCAACTAACCCCGAGTAATTACGTGGCCCAAAATTAACCTTGCACGCCCACATGAGAATGGTATATCTAAATAGGTAATTCACAGTACTCATTTACAATAACTTAAACTATTATTTGACAAAAGCCTTATTACACTACATTTATACCTTACTCTTCTTACAAGCAATATTCTGCTACAGTATATTCATTCCTTACTCTCATTACTGGGAATATCTGTTACAGTACATTTATTCCTTACTCTCATTCCTGGGAATATCTGTTACAGTATATTTATTCCTTACTCTCATTACTGGGAATATCTGTTACAGTATATTTATTCCTTACTCTCATTACTGGGAATATCTGTTACAGTACATTTATTCCTTACTCTCATTCCTGGGAATATCTGTTACAGTATATTTATTCCTTACACTTATTACAAGGAATATTCTCCTAAGGTACATTTATTCCTTACTCTTATTACTGGGAGTATTCTGATAATGTATATTTATTCCTTACTGTTATTACAGGGAATATTCTGCTACAGTACATTTATTCTTTACTTTTATTACTCGGAATATTCTGCTACAGTACATTTATTCTTTACTTTTATTACTCGAAATATTCTGCTACAGTACATTTATTCTTTACTTTTATTACTCGGAATATTCTCCTAAAGTACATTTATTCTTTACTTTTATTACTCGGAATATTCTCCTAAAGTACATTTATTCCTTACTCTTATTACTGGGATTATTCTGATAATGTATATTTATTCCTTACTGTTATTACAGGGAATATTCTGCTACAGTACATTTATTTCTTGCTGTTACTACTGGTAATAGTCTGCTATAGTATGTGTATTCTTTATTCTTATTACTGGGAATATTAGGCCGTCAAGAAATTAATGTCACTTTTTTTTAGTTGAAAAAACAAAACAACTTATATATCAAAACAAAACATTTATTAAATGAAATAGTCTCCATTCTTATCGATGATGCTTTTCCATCTTAAAATCAGGTTGTTAATGCCTTGATTAAAGAAATCATTTATTTGGCTTTGAAGCAAAAAATATTAAGATGTCCTCTTTAACACCTTCCATATTTGCATACATTTTCCCATTAAGATGGTGTTGCAGCAAACGAAAAAGATGGTAATTTGATGGTGCCATATCTGGAGAAGATGGTGGGTGGGGGAGAACTTTCCAACTCAACTCCATAATATTGTGTTGTGTCAAACATGCCACATGTGGATGTGCATTGTTGTGGAGAAGAAGAACACCTTTCCGATTGATGAGTGAAGAGCATTTCTGATGAAGATCTTGCTTTAAACATTCCAGTTGCTGACTATAGATCTCTGCATTGACAGTTCGCTGTAGATTGAGGAGTTCGAAATGAATTACTCCTTTGATGTCCCACCAAATGCAAAGCATCATTTTTGCTGATGGAGTCCAGGTTTTAGGGTTGGAAGTGGTCTTTGTCTAGTACTGAGCCATTGTTTTTGGCATTTAATATTCTCGGAGAGAATCCATTTTTGAGACCCGGTGACAATTCTGTCCAAAAATGGTTCACGTGCATTACGTGCCAGAAGAGTCGAAGCAACGTTCACATGTTGGAAACAATTATCATTGGAGAGTTCATGAGGCACCCAAACACCTTCTTTATGGAGTTTTCCCATATTCCTAAGATGTTGCCTTGGGTTAGACTCAACAATCATCTTCAGAGCATCAATATCAATTCAAATATGTGGGCCCCTGCCATCACAGTTTTTAAGGCTAAGGTCACCTGAACAAAATTTTCTGAACCATCGTTGACACTTACGAATGTTCAAAACATTTTCATAAACTTCTTTGAAATTTGTTGTGGCTACAGAGGCATTGTTTCCCTTCTTGTATTCAAACAGCATTACATGCCGAATGTGTGTTTCGTCGTGTGCCATCACTAAGGGATTAGAGTATACTAAACTTTGCACATTATATAGGCTACACTAACATGACGTTTAGGCGGTTCGTTTAACTATTATACGTGATGTATGTTTTTTGGGGGGTGGTTAATGAAAGTGTTCCAAAACGCGACATTAATTTCTTGATGACCTAATACATTCATTCCTTACTATTATTACAGGAAATATTCTGGTTTAGCAAGTTTATTCCTTACTCATTTTACTGGGAATATTCTGTAACAGTATATTTATTCTTCACTCTCATTATAAGGAATATTCTTCTACAGTACGTTTACTCCTTACTCTTATTACAGGGAATATTGTGCAACAGTACATTTATTCTTTACTCTTATTATAAGGAATATTCAGCTGTAGTACATTTATTACTGGGATTATTCAGCTGTAGTACATTTATTACTGGGAATATTCAGCTGTAGTACATTTATTACTGGGATTATTCAGCTGTAGTACATTTATTACTGGGATTATTCAGCTGTAATACATTTATTACTGGGAATGTTCAGCTACAGTACATTTATTACTGGGAATATTCAGCTGTAGTACATTTATTACTGGGAATATTCAGCTGTAGTACATTTATTACTGGG